GTTTGAGTAATTTAGGGTTTACACTTCAAGAAATATCAGGAGAGTGGATGCACTAGGGTTTTGTGCAACACTGTTATTCCAACACTCTATTATATTAGAGATCATTTCCGGAATAAAATATTTTCTGCCAAAGATCTCAGGACTATAAATAGAATTCTGAACCAAATTTATTCATTATTCGCATTTCCAACTAGAGAAAAAGCATTTTCTCTCTCATGGATCTTCGTGTTTTTATCCCAAAACGTGAGTAACTCTCTCTAGTAGTGTTAGAAAGCTTATTATGTGTTTATAACATGATTGAGATAGATAAATAGCTAGATTTAGGAGTTTACTCCCCAAGGTGTTCTTGGGAGGTAAACTCCCGAAATAAAGCCTAGCCCTGTTCCCGTGATATGATACTACCTTGGACTTGTATAGAAGTGTATTAGGGACAAGAAAACAACAAAGAATAACCCAAGTTTAGGTGTTCACGACCCAATATGATCTTGGACCGTGAACTCCAAAATCATGGACAAAAGGGTGCTTTTAAGGCACCTAAAGCCTTAGACATTTACATGGAATTGTTCCCACTTAAATCAAGGACCTTAAACACATCAAAACACCCTTCAAAGTGAGTTCACGACCCTAATAAGGTTCTTGGGCCGTGAACATCAAACAAAGGCACCAAAGTGTGCCTAAGGCCTTCATATGCTTGGGATAAAAGCCTAAGACCCATACCACACGTGAAAGAGACATGAAAGCATCAAAAACACCATTCCAAGGGAGTTTATGGCAGTAAACTCCAAAGGAAATGGCCTTCGGGCCGTAAAGTCCTCAAGGGAGTGTTTCTATGCCTTAAACCCTTCCAAGAATTAAACCACCAAATTGGAATACTTCTAGGGATCATTTAACACCTCAAAACAACCAAGAACGTTAAGTCTTGGAGTTTACGGCCGTAAACTCCATGTTTTAGTGTATATGGAGAGTAAACTCCATGTGTGAGGTTATTTGGAGAGTAAACTCAAGTATAGGGTCCTTTGGAACCCTAAACCCAAGTGCCTTGTCCCACAATAGCTTAGATGCAATCCTTAGGGCTTATAACACTTATATATAGTGTTTATTATGTTCTAGGATGTCTTAACATTATCAATTAGTAATTTAAGACTAATTGAGTGCATATATGTGTGATTATATGTTCACTAGGATCGTAGTGTGTGTACAAGTCCTCACTTGACACCTAACAATCCTACACCGTCCAGTTCATCCAAACCACCATCTACAGGTGAGTTCATACCCCTAAATGAATATTTTAAATGATTTTAAATGCTTTAATGGGGGGGGGGGGGGAATACAAGTAGAAAACAACATGTTATTAAATCACTCATATGTATTTTATAATTGTGTTTTCATCTAGCAGATTTCACATACTACAAAATGTGATGCATGAAATGGTTTTCCATCTTAAAATACCTTGATAACAAAAGTATTAGTTTTGAAATGTTTATTAACATGACATCAATTCCCTCTTAATTATTATTCAAAACTCTTAGATACCTTGCAAAACCATTACATTTACCTTCTTGAACAAACAATTGCCTTTTAGTTAATTATCATAGGGATAGTTAGAAGAAACAAAACATTATTCCTATTACAAGGAATCACACCAGAGTCAGTTCATTCAGGAGTCAATACCAGTACATTACCTGATACCTGAGTACATTTACATATGATTACATGATACATGAGTACGTTTACATATACATACATGATACATGAATACCATACATGAGTACTGTTACATAGATACATTATCCTGTATTCACTTACCTGGATACTTGTACCTATAGTTATGAGGAAGATTTATTTGTACCTTCTGTGTAGATTTTCCTGCCTATCCCTGTTCGACGGGATGTCTAGATGGGACTAACCATTCCGGAACCCAGCTGTTAGCACCACTGGGTGATGAACATCCACGGATGTCTAAGGTTATCACTTATAATAGATAGATTGATATTGGAGCTAACCATTCCTCCATCCTGATGTTGCAACAGAGGATGAGATGAAAATCTTCGGATGATCATTAGGTTAGCACTTGTATTAGGAGTCGGCTACGGGACTAACCCTTTCTCCAACCTGTTGCTACTATAGAGGATAATTGGACAATCTTCGGATGTTCATTAGGTTTTCATATCACTTACTGCGATGGTGCATTAGTCTTGGTATCCAGGGATAGCACATACATGGTTATATTTTTCCTATTTATTTTATTTTGTGATATATTCACATAAACAATGAGTTAGACCAATTACTGTTTGTAGTAGTAAAAAAGAAGGAAAAACTATCATTTTACTTACAAAACATTCGGGTCTTGGTAGAAGACTACATTGTCATAACAAAACATTCGGGTCTTGGTAGAAGACTACATTGTCATAACAAAACATTCAGGTCTTGGTAGAAGACTACATTTCATACTAGTAGGAAATAAGGGATTTCTTACGGTTTTTCATACTTATATCAACTGTGTTACTTAAAGGTTTTTATATGACATTCATAACTGTTTATAAAAGCAAGACAATGACACTTAAATACTTATGAATTCACCAGCTTTAAAGATGATACGCTCTTTTAAAATAACTTGTATTCTCAGGTCATCAGTAGACAGGTATGGTGGCCAGGTTTTGAGAAGAAGGAGCAGACAAGTCTCGTCTTTTATTTTTATTATGTATTTTTGGTGTTTTATTACAATGAAAGAACACACATGTATTAAAACTTTACTTATAATGCAATGGATGATGTTGTTGCTTGTTTACTATTTTACACTGATGTGATACTATACATGACGTCCTCCACCCCTGAACGTTTCTGCTGTTCATGGTTTTGGGGTGTGACAGATTGGTATCAGAGCATTGTTTATAGTGAATATAGTATATCAACCCATAAAAGATATACTAACTATAAATACATTGGGATTAAAACAATCTGTCTAAGTGTAATACTTTTAAATAATAAAATATTTAATAAAGTATACAAGCCTGCATTCATACTAAAACCAGTGTCACAATGACCAGAACAAAAGTATTACGATTGTTGAATATCACAAGTAAGCCTGGGGATATATAGTCAGTCTTGGGAATGGCATAGCCTGATCAACTATGCTGGTCCAAGGAGTGATTAGCATATGCCCAAGAATGGTTGTGATGTGGCAACAAGTTTAAAAACTTACCAACACAACCATAAAGAAATACCATAAGGGTATTTGATCTTACTCTAATTATCTTAGTTAGTTCGCCTATATAGCTATTTCTTATATCCCTTTTCTCGCGTAGATTTTAATGGATGGATTTCACCATGGCGATCCGTACTTTCCAAACCAAGGCAATTCTGGTTGGCTAGAGGCAGAACCAGAAGATGATCACCCAATCCCTTTGGATGATCACCATGCTGAGGTTTTTTCCGATAGTTCTAACTTAGAGCTTGAAGTCAACAACCTACCCCAAGATGCTCAAAAACCTAACCTGAACCCTCGTCCTGCATTTCAAGGACCCACACCTCTGTGGCTACTAACTTGAATACATGTAGTCATGAACAGGGTCAACCCATTCCCTACAATGGAGACTGAAGTCTCTACAACCTCGCTGAAGGAGGTTCTACTGATAGAGTCCTACCAATCATGGTTAATAGGATTTCTCGAAACACGATAATGACCCAAGCAACTATCAATCAAGTCTTGGAGGTTGACGCCAACTCTGGCGTTAACACTATCCGCATTCGCCAACTAGAGTCTGCTCATGAAAGAACTCTAGTCTGCAATATAGCTCTGCGGAGGGAACTTACTCAAACTCGAGCTGAAGTTAGGGAACTTCGAGCTCAGCAAGCAAGAGATGACAGTCGTATGAGGGACATGGAACGTCTACTATCAGGATCAACAACTCATGCTAGCAGTTCTCGTCGCCGATAGAATCTCGACGACTCATCTTTTGTATATAACCTAGTTTATGTAAAACTTTGGTCTAATTTCCTGTCTTTAGAAATCTTAGACCTATTAGGTCTTGATCTAGTCTTAATTCTGTCAAAATTTTCCATCTTGGTTGATGTAAGGCCTGCT